AACTATCTTCTCAATTTCTTCCTTCTAAAAATATGAGTATCGATTAGTTTGCACATTAGTTGGTGTGGACTCCAACACCTAGGGCATTCGGTAGTCTTGATATAGTTTGTGGTGGTAGATGAGTTGGGTCTCATACACATCCTCAAATTGGCCTAAAACCTATTGTAGGGCTTATAATTCTTTCTCTGGAAAAGCTTTGAAAGCATTCTGTGGAAAATTTGCTTTTCCACTTTTGCAAACATTTGAATATAATGGAGTTATTCGGTAATTCGAATGTTGTAATGTCTGAAAACTATTCATTTTACAAATATCCCTCAAAGTAAACTAAATGAAAATGATTAAAATACACATTAAAAGACTAATAAAAAAGATTAATATTATAAAATAATAAAAAATTTAATAATATTAAAATTAATAAATAATATTATTAGAAATAATATAAAATAAGTATAAAATATACTAATTTTTGAAAGGGGCCGGGGTATCAATAATTTTTTATTAATTTTTGAAAGGGGTACACATATGTGAAGAGAGAACTTTTTATCTCAAAAAATGTTTTCCTTTTGTTTTCAAAGGGGTATGCTTTGTGATCAGCGACAATAAGAACAACACCACTGCTCCTCCCCTTCCCATCTCTCCAAGTCTCCATTTGTTTTACCTCATTCTCGCTCTCCTCCTTTTCTTTCATTATTGTTTTTTTTTTCATTTTTCCTTTCTCCATCCCTATTATAGAGAATAGAGACGATGAACAATGGTTTGTCGCTCCTCTGTTCATCAAGGAGAGATGGGAGAATAGTTGGCATCCTTGTTAGGCTATTACAGAGATGGGAGCGACGATGGTTCATCTCTCCTATTAGGTTGTTACAAGGACAATTCATGATCGTTGTTACAGAAGAACAGAGGAGAGTGAGATGAGGGAAGAAGAGAAAGAAAAGATGGGTATTTTGGGGAACAAAATATCGTCCACTACCTCTAAGCGCGCTTGGAGGTAGTAGATCTGTTGAACGATTCGAAGGGGTTTTCAGTCTCAAAAGGTTGAGTTCAGAGGTGCTGTCGAAAGACCCCGAAGCACCGAAAAGCAAAAACTTTGGTGTTCGGAGGTTGATTCAGTGCTACTGAACACCACCTTAGTTTCAGAATTGGATTGGTGGGCTATGGGCCCATTTGCATCAACAATAGTTGCTCAATCCCATTAATACCTCTAAGAATTGAGTGAAGACCCTCAATTGTGGGTTTGGGGGTCTCTAAACCTTGAAGGTGGATAAGGTTACTTACTGTCCTGGTAGACATCCATGGTCATTTTTCTCCAATCATAGAGGATTGGGCCTATTTGCTGCAGCCATTGTATCCCAAGCATAATGTCTACCCCATTGAAGTCTAAGGGGTGCATGCCAATAATGAAATTGTTGCCTAGGATATTAGTCATTCATTTTTGCATATACTCTCACATTCAATTTGACATCCATTAGCTACTTGAACTGTAAAAGGGGTGGTGTACTTGCACTTTCAATGAAAACTGTTACCACACAACCCATGAGCTTTCCATTCACCCTCATGGCTGTGGGAGATGTTAGACTCATTAGAGCTTGCAATGAGATCTTTGGGTTATCATAAGAGGGGTCTTTGGGATCCATGTTCTCCATTTGATCATGCTGGGCCATTTCTTCATTTTCATCTAATTGCAAGAGAAACATCTTCTGACCTTGCACCTATGGCTTGGCCCAAAACATCCATCATAATTATAACAAAGTCCCTTCTCACGTAGGGCTTGCCAGTGATTTAAAAGGCGCGCCTAAGTGCACAGGCGAGGCACATTTTAGGGTAGGCGCCTCGCCCAGGTCCTAGGCGCAACACTTTCAAAAGGTGCACGCCTGGTGCACCTGATACGCCTTGTGCCTTGGCCCAGGTGTGCACCTTTTGAAAAGTGTACGTTTGTTTTTTTTTTGCTTTTTTTGAATATCTTAATAAAATATCTTCTTAAAAGGCAATTAAAATTATAAAATCATTATTTTTTGTGTGAGAATTAAGAATTTAAGACCCAAACATGGACTTGTCTAGGCTTGCCTCGAGGGGCGTGGCACAAAGGTGACTCGTAGAATTAGGAACATAATATGTTTTACATCAAATTAGCTACTTGAAGTAATGCAAATGAGGAAAAAAAGAGATTGTGGGCTTTACATGCTTGAAAATGTTTTATATGTTTGATTTTATTTTTAAATTTTCATTTGAATATGCTTTACATGTTATGTTTATGTCTTTTAATTTTAGATAATAGTTTTTTTAAACCACTAATTTTAAAATTGAAGTTTATATTTCTTATTAATATTATCTTTAATATTTTTTATTTTATTTTACATGTTTTTGGCATTTTTTTTGAACTTTTTGATTTTTTTAGCAATATTTTTTTGTATTTTTGCACCTTGCTTCAAAAGGTTACGTGCCTTGCCTTGCCCCTCTCGCCTCGGGCGCAAATTGGCCCTTGTGCCATTTTTGCGACTTGCACTCTTAAAACACTAGGGCTTGCATCTCAGCCTAAGTGAGATGTTTCAATGAAACGAGTGTCTTAGGCATAGTGTGTCAAGTGGGTCTTGGAGTGGGCCTTAGTAGAAGCTCATCTTGTCTAGGGAGTTCTTCAATATCGGACCCAAGGGCCAAGAAGCCTTCTTGGGCTTGTCCAACTGTTCTTGAAGTCAAGCCAATCCAGAAATGGCAACGGGGTGATTTTGGGGCAGGGATTACATTCCCCATCCTCGATCCCGACCTCCAAATCACTCCCCGTCCCCGATCCCTGATGGGGAAAGGAATTCCCCCTCCATCCCTGACCCCAACGGGGATGAATTCCCCATTGGAGACCCGAATCCCCGACGAGCTGAGAGTGATTACCCAATTCCAAAGAGATCGAGGGAAAGACTGAGAGTGAGGTCGATGATAGAGAGAGAAAGAGAGATTGAGAGACAGAGTATGAGACAAAGAGAGAGAGAGAGAGAGAGAGAGAGAGAGAGGACCGTTATGAGAGTTGAGGTCAGCGACGAGAGAGTGAGTGCAACGGGAGATGGCGACGACAGTTGGCGACGATAGACGAAGGTTGAAGGAAGATTAAACATCTGAAACTCTTTTTTGGGTATCTATTCTCTGTCACTCGAGAAGGCACGACCGCACGAAGCTAGGGTTCTGACGGTGACAGCGGTCGATGAATCAGTGACGAAGACGAAGGCACGCACGAAGCTAGCGTTCAGCTGTTCAGAGACATAGTTGAGAGACTTGAGAGTTCTCTCTTGAGTCTTTCTCTCTGTCAAAGACTCGAAGTTGAATTGTCGGGGGTTTTAGTGTTTTACACTTTTACTATTTTTTAAGTTTTAATATTTTAAAAAATGAATAATAATTATTATAATTATATAAAATATAATATTATATATATATATGTTAATTGGGGTCGGGGCGGGG